ATACAGGACATGTAAAGTTTAAGAGAAAATATGAAATGTAGCATTACTTTAATTAATTTGATATATTCCATATGATGCTAAATCGAAGATGTTACAACCTGTAGATTCTAGAATCTATGTTTGATTATCCATCTATTAAAATAGTGCAATAATATCTATAAAAGTAATAACATTACAAGATGTAATGCAATGAAACCTAAGATCTAAATTATATTTTAAAGATTATATTGACATGAATGTTCTTAACAATCTAACCACTGAACATAGTCTGTACGATATTACTTAAGATGTACGTTATTGTTTAAGACTGAAAATATTTTAGATGTTAAATGTAAAACTGGAGATGGGGTCTGCAACCGTACATTATACACTGGATGTACACTGCTATAGTTCGACCAATCATCACTTATGGAGCACTAGTATGGTGGGAAGCGGTACTTAAAGAGACTAATAGAAAAAGCCTCACAAAAGTACAGCGATTAGCAGCTCTAGGTACAACTGGAGCAAGGAACAACACAGCGCAAGCTGCGCTAGAAGCAATTCTGGACTTGCAATCAATCGACTGGCTCGTAAAGGATCTGGCCGCTAAGGGTGCCCTAAGATTAAGGGAATCCAATCTGTGGAACCAGACCAACTACGGTCACTCGAGGATATTGCCAGTGATAGGGAAAATCATGGTGAACACGAGTCCACATCTGCTAGACCAGAAAACGGACTATATGCTCACCAAACATGATTTTGGAGAAAAGATAAGAATTCGCATTCCGACAAGAGAAGAATGGGAAAGCAACCGAGTAATGAACACTCAAGAGATAGCAGTCTACACAGATGCTTCCGCAAATTCAGGGGGCACAGGTGTGGGCATCTTCTCAGAGAAACTAGACATCCGACGATCTTTGAGGCTATCGGATGGCTGTAATGTTCTACAAGCAGAGGTTTACGCCATAAAGGAAGCGGCTAGTTGTATACGAGAGAAAATTGCTGATAGACCAATAGGGGATATAGTGATATACTCTGACAGCTTGCCCGCATTAAGAAGCATCACCATGCAATCAGTGAGATCGAAAACTGTGATGGAATGCCGAGAAGCACTGTCCTGGCTGCGTCGGGGTGGGGCTACTCTGTGCTGGGTGCCAGGCCACAGCAATGTGGTGGGCAATCAGGAAGCAGACAGACTCGCCAAAGACGGGGCCAGGGGAGAGGCCGTGGCAGATGACCCACCACTTTTGACGATCAACACACTGAAGGAGGCTATAGGAACTGCCATCAAGGCCAAGCAGCAAGAGACGTGGCAACACCGTGAGGACTGTGCTACAGCTCGAAGACTATGGCCAGTGGTAGATAGCAAAAAGACAAAACAGCTACTAGAGCATAAAAAGGACCTAGTACGCATAATTGTAGGTGTCGTCACTGGAAACTGTTCCACGGGGGTAAACCTCGTAAGATGGAAAGTTTCCGACGACGACTACTGCAGAGAATGCGGAGAGGAAGAAGAAACCATAGAGCACCTGCTGTGCCACTGTCCGGCACTGGAATACCGACGCATTAAAACTTTAGGGCAAGGTTTTTTGGAGGGACTAGAGGAAGCAGCAGAAGCCAACATCAGCGACATCGGGAACTTTGCAAAGAGCTGGAAGTGCTTTAACGCAAAGAAAGAATGAGAGGAAGGTTTGGTAAAACAATACAGGGGTATCGCAATGGGCCCAAGGCCTCCGAGTGAGGGATCAAATATGATCCCAAACCCCAGCAACCTAACCTAACCTAACCTAAATGTAAAACTAGAACTTAAATATACACTTAGCTGTTCTTTTATGTAACCTTGCTTCAAACAGTAGCAGCGTGAGGTGGTCTAGCATCTCTGTACTGTCTGTCGGCGATCCTGTTGGTCAAAACAACAAAAGGGGCTAGATTGAGGACACCATGAATCCTTACAGCCGTAGCTACTGACTAGGCTTAGAAATGGGAGTGAAGCAGCATGGGACTCAAGCTACATGGACGCTGTGGCACTTAGATGTAAGAAAAAATCGTTCTTACTGGGGACACTCGTCCACAGGACATCTGTACATAAGATAATGTCTGTACATAAGGCACTACCCGTACCTTGGACACAGTCCGTATCTTGGACCCTAAAAATATGAAACTCTTGTTTAAAACCAAACAAGGTCTAATAAACAAAATAAACCTACCTCGAAATACTTCCGAGGGCTCAATAAATAATAAACAACATGTCCTTTCTTCCATGTGACATTTTGGAGGACAAAAGAAAAGGGACGCCAACGTGCCAGCAAAATACAAATACAAGTTGGGACATCCGTAACTCTACCCTAAAAATATTCAATAATAATATCGAATCTAAAAGGATAATATTTCATCTTTACCTGTTGCTTCGAAATAGCAGCTGATTCAAATTATACAGCAAGATTTAAATAATCACCATTTCTAAAAGCTGGGATACAACAGAGCGTCAAGCGTCAAAACGAAGTGAGGTTAAGCACACAGAATATACTAACGAAAAAGAAGCCCAAGTTCCTTGTAATAAATCGGTTCCATTTTCGTAACGCCATCTCTCGACATAGCTGACATTATAGGTTAGCCAAAGGGGTGCGGGGCCGGGGGGAATTGTAAAATACACTTTTTTATTTTAATTATTTTTATTCGCTATTTGCAATTTTATTTTTAAAACATATTATGTGAAACAATCACATAATATGTCTTAAAAATAAAATTACAAACGGAAACAAAAGGAATTAAATAATCTCAAAATCTACAAAGTTTATTGATAAAAAAGTTAGGCTATGCAAATTGATAAGTATATTAAGTATAACCTCTTTGGTATAACATTGTTAAACAAACATTAACAAATCATAACATAGAAACAATCATAGAACTAAAAAAAGTACTATTACATAAAAACAGGTGATACAATACTTCAAAATTAATTTTAACATAATATCAAAACCGAAAAATCAAACTGCAAACACAACCACACTTATCACAACAGAAATTAACACACACTTCCGCGGCAAATGTCCAAGAAAGACTGATCATTTTGATTGGTCCTGGTCCGGTCGTAGCTCACGTCGTATTGTCGGTAAGCAAAATCCCTGTCCAAAAATTTGACGATCAGCGCCATCATCCGTCATAATTGGGAAACTTTTGCTGGAACCATTTTTAATATTTCACTTACATGGCCCTGGTTAAGCACGGAGAGTTGACAGAAGCGATGTTGACAGCGCGCGCCTCCACAGAATAGTAACAGGGTTGTGTCGAACGATAACAGGGTTGGCGACCAGGGAACGTAAAAATTACGCGTCAAATAAACTATCCGGCCTGAACGAGAGGGAATCCGGTGATGATAGGCCAGACATCATATATTATATATAAAAAAGACATGTAACGAACTAAAAACGTTACATTACTATATAGCTGTGCATAAAAATTTGGAACGATATATTTCTTTATAAATCTTGCCATGTTGGCATACAGTGTGAGTCTTTAAATTATTTGGAATAAATCCTTTCCTACTTCTAAAAAGCGCAAGTACGTCTGGCCATTTAGATTATGATTGATGAATATTTGACATTCAACATTTGGTTTGGTAACAACAGCAATTAATAATGCCCGCCCAAACGTTGAAGTCATTTCACTGGTCATTGAGTATGTCTTGTTCTTTGTGTTCACGATTCACGGTAATATTGTCAAGTAAATGCATCATTTGTTCAGAAAACTTTAGTCTCTTATCGCGATTAATATCCCCATACAAGCAGTGGCGGCTCGTGGGTAAAAAAATAGGTGAAGATTTTTTTTTCTAAATTCCGCCGGCACCGCAAGCGAAAATTTTTTTGGCGCATTCACCATTTTGTCAACATTTTTTAAATTATTGTTTGAAAAATTGGGACTTTGTAATCATGACTTCAATACTCATAATAAACATTATATACAGTGTCCACCATAAAGTTGGATCAATATGGACGTTTTTTTTACATTAGAGTTTTAAAAAATCTTTTTGTGGCAATCACTTCTGCTTTGAAAACAACTTAAAATGCACGTCAAAGTTGACAGCTAACATCTGGGAGCTGTCAAAAAATACAAAATATTTAAAAGAAATTTTTAAAAATTGGTTAAATTATTATTATTTCAAAAAAGGTGACAAACAAAATTATGTTTCAACTTTGACTTGGTGCATTTTAAGTTGTTTTTAAAGCAGAATTGATTTCCACAAAAAGTTTTTTTTAAACTCTAATACCAAAAAAAAACGTCCATAGGTATGGGTCCAACTTTATGGCGGACACTGTAATTATTGAATGGCTTCCCCGAAAAACGTTGTAACCGACATTTGTTTCAAAATGGAGATTTCAGTGAAATAAGGTTGTAATTTTCATACATATAACGTTTTTTCCTCGGTTTTTTCACTGAAATTTCGATATTGAACTTAATTTTGTACACTTACTGATTATCTTAAAAGTTTCGATGTCTTAACATACATGTTTTAAAGAACTTGCACAGAACCAAAGTTTACAGAATAAAATATACAGAACCTACATCGTCCCAATCACGTATCAAAAAGTAATGCAGAAACGAATTATTAAGGAGCAAAAATATTTTAGAAATTTAAAGTAAAGAACAACATCTTTAAAAATTTCCCAATGTTTTTTAGGAAACGGTGAATAATATAGATAATCCGGAAAACAGGAGCAATATTTTATATGTACGGGTGGAGAGGATGGATCAGGTAACTGTCAAATGATTATTATTTGACCTAATATTAATGTAAATATAATTAATAATCTTTATACACAGTTCATACGTTCATACCGAATAAACTTTTAGACACGTAATTAAACTTGACCGGCACAGCGTTGCCCACTTTTATATATTTTCTTTTAATCATAATCAAAATATTTTAGGAAAAAAAATGAATTATAAATATAGTATAAACAGTTATTATTTATATCAAAAAAACTCACCTTCTTAACAGCACTTAAGGGACATAATGGGCCATTACTACCGCTTTCCCGTACAAAATATTCTAATAAAGTTGCGATGAGTTTTTTTACAGCTATTAAGCTTTGTTGTAGAGGGTGTCCCACTAAAAATAGATCTCGGCTGTATCTCGGAAGTATTAAGGTGTACGCGCACTGAATCGGTACCAGTCCGGCGAGAAACGGCGAAGGCGGTGACTCGACTATCGTAGATAGGTAGAGGTAGGAATCTGGCCTCTACAGGCCGAAATATTTTAGTGGACGCCGGCGCCGTCTATATGTACGATGGTCACAGTCGCTTTTGTTGGTCGGTCCGATCCGATGCAGTGCGCGCCCTCCTTTAGACGTAGGGCTTGCGGAAAAAAATATTTATAACTAGAGAGACCATGAGCAATTGCTGGAAATTATTTTCAAGTTTGTAGAACGGCCGCTAGAGGGCGTAACTGTTGGAAATATAAAAATGGAATTTTTAAGAAATTTTGCCTAGATACTATCTGCTAAAATACAGTGGTGGGGGAAGGTTAGATCTGTTTTTATTTAAATGTTAATAACTCCGGACTGGATGATCGGAATCCAACAAGTTAGAGCTCGTTTAAAAGAGCGTTTCTTAAGGTACGCGCACACTGACCAGCACCGCACTCGCCGCACGCGCCGCATAGACCGAAGAAAAATATTGTTTGTGTTACTTTCAATGAACCAAGCAACAAGCAAAATTTATTGCTGGAACATTGTCAAAACTTCGCAAAGCAAGGTGTAACATTGCTTTTTTCATTGTAGGGAGGTTTATGCAAGGTGGCAGGGTAGCTTAATCTTCCGCCAAATTACATTGCAGTGCAAGGTTGAAAAACACAATATTATTGAAACGTTGCTAATGTAACGTTCAGGAAAGTTCTAATTTGAGATGTATTAGTAATATTGTTAATTTTACGTCAATACAATATTGGTAAAATTATATTGTACCTATGTTTCAAAACTTATTATCCATTAAACTTTCTATTTCGTTTTAACTTATTAACTGACTTATTGCTAAAGATAAAATATTGCAGCCGGCTTGCAACTTGACCGGCTCCAAAGCTGCAAATAATTCTTGCTTACTTTTGTAGAATTTGGTCCTAATGTGTTGATCCAAAATTTCCCATAAATTTTCTATTGGATTCAGGTCTGGGGATTGCGATGGCCATTTGAGAACAGTCACCATTTCATCTTCCAAAAACCTTTTAACCAATTGTGAGGCATGTTTCGGGTGGTTATCATGTTGGAAGTAGTGTACAACTGGCATTTTTTCCTCCAAATAAGACACTAAAAGGTTTTGTAAAATGTCTCTGTAGCCAAACCGATCCATTATGCCCTCAATTTAATGGAGAGGCCCCATCCCATACCCAGAAAAACACCCCCATACCATGATTGAGCCCCCACCATGTTTTACAGTGGGTCGCGTGTACTTTGGTAGCAATCTTGTGTTGGGAGGTCTTCTTACATGTTGAATTCCATCTGATGACACCAAATTAAACTTTGATTCATCACTAAAACAAACTTTTTTCCATTGTGCCACAGTCCAGTTTTGATATTCCTTGGCAAATGCTAATCGGGCCTTCAATTTTTTTTTGATAGCAGTGGTTTCTTGGCACTGGTCTTTTTTTTTCTGGTCTTCGGGAAAACAACTTCTGGTCAACTAATTTACGTCGGATCGTCCTTGTACTCACTGGTGGATAGCCCATTTCTTCAAGTTTTGCTTTTATCTTTGTTGACGGCAAAAATGGATCTTTTGAAGAAATTCGTTTTATGGCTTTTATCATATTGGGACCAACTTTTTTAGGTCGTCCTGGTTTTCTTTTTATAGAGACATCTCCTCTCTCATTATATCTCTTTAAAATATAATGTACCGCTGATTTTCCAAGGCGTAATTGCTTAGCGATTTCCGATTGCTTCAAACCGTCCTTAAAAGCATTCACTACTCGCAACTTAAGATCTGCAGACAAGTTAATTCCACGTGGCATGATATATCACAAGAGCTCAAATGTTTTTAAATCGCAATTGTTCATAAAAGCAGAACAAATCAAACTAACGATTTTTTAAAATATTTGGTTCATCTACTTTTGTCCAAGACAAAAAAGCAATATTTGCCAATTCTTATCTATAAATGATAAGACTAACAGAAGAATTTATATTTGTTTGTAGTATTTTGGTGAGAATGTATTAAACTTTTAACATACAAAGGTACATAAAATAATTTTGATATTTAACACCTCAAATCTGATTTTCTTCGCAATTATTGGTATTGGTTCATCCACTTTTGGCCAATACTGTACCTACTTTTACTAATATTGTATTGACGAAAAACATAAACAATATTAATAAAAATATACATATCTCTATATCCACTGAGTTAGAAAAAGAAAGTCGAATTTGTCAAACAAATTAAAAAAAAACAAATAAAAACTAGAAATTTATCACTTACTTGTTTCAAAATTACTGTTTAGTACTGAGTACTGAGAACTTACTGATCTTTTCGGCTGCTCATCAAATAAGGAATTACTCAACTCTGACCTCTTGAATCGAATTTCTAAAAAAAATCTTAAAAGTTGAAGGTCTGAAATACAAAATATATATAGGTAGTATATGTATAGTTAAGTATATGTATATGTAGGTACAGTATAAACATTATTATATATTTCTTATTCAAAAATACAAAAGGAAAGTATAACATTAAATATATGTACAAGGAAAAGCAAACTTATATTTTGATTGATTTTTTGGATGTTTCATATTTTGTCTTCGCATGTTGAATTGTCTTGTTCATGGTTTCAAATTCCTCTTCGGTAAAGTTTTCCAATCTATATCCAATCGTTTCTAAAGTAGTAAAAATAAAAAACAATCAGTTGTAATAAATATAGCATGAGAAACTTACCTCTTGTGATGTTCCTTATTTTAAGTCCTTATTTTAAAAATCTCAGATGATTAACCAATCCAACATTGACAATAATGAATACTGAATATTGTTCGTGATTTTATCATTAGATTAAGAATATATAGGTTTACCCTGGTTTTATCCATGTTTTATCTACTTCAGTTTTCAGTTGGTTAAAAGCTAAACTAAAATATAAAATTTCCTTTAAAAACAAACAACACAATTTGTTATACTTATTCATAGCTAAGGGTTATTAATGCACACATAATAATAAAATTATACTTACACTTGTCGTCTCATCATCATTCTTTGTCTATTGTTGGCTATGTATAAGGCCAATTTATCCTTGCTAATTTCCTAATTTTATGGTCCCATCTCAGGTTCAGTCTACTTCTAGGTCTCTTAATTCCTTGTGGGTACCATCACAGTTTAAAGAATATAAATATATGTACCGTATGATCGAAAAAAAACGGCGTCCAGTTGGCTTGGAAATGACGATCGATGACATTTCCCATATAATTTTGCATATAAAATTACAGCGATCTTCATTTCATAGCCATCGTTGACGCCGTTTTTATTCGATCATACGGTAGTATAATGTATGTATTCTTTAAACTGTGGTACCATGCTGTAATTTTTTTGGTCCATAATCTGTTGTTCCTCCATATTGCCAGGTATCCTGCTCATTGCCATTTGAGGGATATGATTTTGTGGATGACATCTATTACCTGGGTCTTTTGTCGTATTCACTTTTTTTTTATGGTCTTTCTTGGTTATTCCAATGTTATTCCCAGCATATTTTGTTCCATTGAAGATTAAGATATTCTCCATTTGTTTTTAATCCTTTGTTAGTCCAGTCTAGTTGACAGAAGATTTCTTCTAGTGTTGCTGTAAATAGCTTTGGGGATATCGCGTCTCCTTATCGTACTCCTTGGCCAGTTGGAAACTCTGGGGTTGTTTTATATATCATTTCTCTTGCTTCGGTTTTGCTTTGTTTATTTACTAACTCTGGGGTTGTTTTATATATCTGTACTCTTGGTTTGTTTACTTACATTTATATTCATCAAAATCTCATTCAAAAAGCATAGAACGTGATACAAAACACGTCAAAAACAAGTTTAACGTTAACCTGTTAACCTAACCTAACTTTATTTATGACTTTACGATAAAAAAAACGGCGTCGGCGATGGCTATGAATTGAAGATCGCTGTCATTTTATATGTAAAATTATATGGGTAATTACAGCTGGACGCCGTATTTTTTCGATCATACGGTATAAACATAAATTTGCGCGGATCTTTCATTTGAATCTTTGTTGCAATGTTGCAGAAAAAACGTTTTTATCGCCTTTCAAAAACAATATTTCTATAGCAAAGTTTCATCAATCACGGCAAAACGTTTACAAATCAACATTACAAAGCAAGCTGTTTGGGGATTGTCTGCAATGTTGCAAATGTAATGTGAGGTTTCTCGCTTGGTGGGAAGGTGCGCACACTAGCCAGAGCCGCACGAATCGCATCGACGAAAATGCGGCCAGCATTGTTGGGCCAGAATGATTTTCGGTCAGTGCGGCTAGTGCTGCTGACGTCACACGCAATTCCTTCCACTCTACGTGGGTAGCCGAATCGAACTAGCTGAAGAGGAGGTTAGAAATTCAATATGCTAAGAATGTTCGCAAATTTTTCATGGCTCATTTTAAAATATTGAAAAAGTTTTAGTTCGTCCTCAATTAAATATGGAAATAATGTGTGGAGAATTCCTCTCCTAAAGGTAACATTTTTGGAAATATTGTGAACCCATAACTTCTGATACTTTCTCGTAATTTCTTTTTCTTCTATTAGCAAGGAGCTCATAATTATTTCTTGTTCGTTGTCATTCATTGTCGAGAAATATTAAAAAAACACGCTTATCACTGCAGACATGACTCCGGAAGCGATTGATGAGAATTTCGATTGGCAAATACGGGTGTAGTAAGGGTAAAAAGAAAAAAAGAGCCAATAATGCGGTGCGTGCTGCCCGTTTGGTACGAGTTAGTGTGCGCGACAAGAAAAAAAAGTGCAATTCGTGCGGCTCTGGTCAGTGTGCGCGAGTTTTCTTTCGTGACCGGGACAATTACTTTTTAAAAAACAACACAGAGACTTGATCAGTTTATTAATATGTTTGGTTGAACAGTACTAACAAAAAGATGAGAAAATATAAATGTAACTTATATTTATAGGCTTCTACTGCTGAGGTAGCAGTGACGTCAAAGGCGGGTGACGTACCCAGGCTACGTGGATATAATTCCTCCCTCACAAGTGGAAAATTCTGGGGTTCGGTGCAGGATTTTCCTGGAGTGGAATTTCTTCTTTTTCTTCTAAAATTCTTCTTTTAAATTTGTTAAATATCTGACATTTATACAATATATAAATTAAAACAAATATAAATAAAACATACATTATAATAACCCAAATATTAATACTAATTTCAAAAATAAATGGTTTAATCGATTCTAAATCATTTTCTATGATATTTCTAATAGGATGTATATTATTTAAATCAATAGAATCTAGATTTAATGGTTTTAATTTATTTATAGATTTTCTGACATCTTTGTAAAATTTAATTTTGGCAATTGAATATTTTTATAATTAAATTTCGTATCACCTAAATTTTTAATCATTACATCATTGATTTTTATTTCGCAATCAGAATTTAATTCAATAATGTAACTTCCTAGTAAAGGTATATTTTCATGATTACTTTGACAATACTGAACTGCAATAGTTTGTTTAGGACATATAACTATCCATTTATTTTGTTCAATTTTTTTGAACTTTATTTTCTAAAATTTCAACAGGTGTTAAATGACAATTAGAAATAAATTTATTATATTTTAAAGTTCAATTTCACATGGATTATTTTTAGATATCTTAACTATATTAGAGTCTTTGCAAATAAATTCACTTGAGTCACTTCTTCACATTTATTGTCCAGAAACGCGTAATTCTGTTCATTAAATATTAAGTATTTTGCATTAGGTATTATTACATTTAGGGAATTATTATTTTTTACAGGAAATGGGTAAAGATGATATAAATTATAACTATCATTTTCCACAATAGGTATTTCTAAAATAAAAATTATTTTATTTGTCTCACTATAACTTTTAATATTTATAGTTTTTTCAAAAAGTATTAAATTTATAAGTTCAGGTTTAAAAGGTAATTTAAAGTTCTTTAAATACTGTGAAACAGAATTTATTTCCTTGAACAATTCGTCACTCTGAACAATAGAATTGCGAAATACGTTTATCTTAGCAAAACTTATGGCAGTTTCGATTTTTTCTAATATATCGTAAATAATCTGATATTCATTGATTATTTGTGAAAGAGTAATTTGTAATAGTAAATATTGATATGTGTCAAGAAAATATGCTTCAGTATTATAAAGAATTGTTTCTAACATGTCAATACGATGTTTAATTATTATTTGATTATTAGATAGATTTTTAATATTATTTTGGAAATTTTCAATTGATTTGTCAAACATTGAAATTTGATTTTTAATAATAGTGTTTATTTTTAACTGATTGTCAGAAAGATTTTCAATGGCTTTATTATATTTTTCAGCATCATACTGATCTAAATTACCAGTTATTGATTTTATTATCGATCCCAGTCCATCAATTAAACCACGTTTATATCTATTATTATTAGCACTATAATATAAAGGATTAATTTGTTTAATTTGAACATTTATTTTAGTTTGCAATAAATTTGCTAAATTATAAGAGTTATAAAAATTATATTTGTATGTTTTTGAAATATTGGTATTATTTTCAAAAGCTATTTTTATTCTAAAATATTGATTTTGAATTTCATTAAATTGTTGAATTAAATTAGTTATATCAAATACTTGTATAAATTTCCAAGTGTCGATTTTATTTTGGGCGTTGCCTAATTTTAAGGGTAGTATTCCTGGGTTATCATTCATTCGGTGGTATTTTGGTTCTCCATAGGTGGTGGCGAATCTGAAACAACAGGTGGTTTCCTCAATTCTTGAATATGTAGTATTTCTTTTTTATTCGGATCTTTTTTCCGAGTTATTTCCACTCGATTCCTTTCTAACATTTTTGTTATAGTATATGGTCCCAAGAATTTATTTTTTGATTTATTCCTTTTTAAAGGGTTTAATTTATATACCGTCTGTCCTAATTTAAATTCATCATTTGTGTTTCCTTTTACATTGTGTTTAGAAACAACTTTCTCTTTTTGTTTATTTAGATCTTCCTTTACTTTTTCATAAACTTTTTCTAGTTTTTGTTTATGATTTTGGGTATAATCTGTAAAATATTCTTTTAGATTAAATATCTCATTTGGCTCTCTTGAGTTCGTATGACCAAAAGTTAGTTCAAATGGTGTATATTTTGTTGAGCTATGTATTGTATTATTATAGGCAATAATAGCATAATCCATCAATCCTTCAGTTTCAGTAGGGAAACTTTCTTTCAGTAATCTTAGGTGTTCTATAATTGTGGAGTGAAATCTTTCAACTACACTGTTTGATTCGTGATGTAAGGGGGTGGTAAAATGTACTTTAATTTTATGTAAATTTAAAAGTTCTTTGACAGTTTCGTTCTTAAATTCTGCCCCATTGTCTAAAATTATTTTTTCTGGTATTCCCGCAAAAGCAATATATTTAATTAAGGCATTTGCGATGTTTATTGCATTTTTTCCAGGTATTTCAATTGCTTGTGCATATTTTGAAAATGCGTCAACTAGAGTTAAATACATTTTTGAATTATAATAGAATACGTCAATATGAACATTTTGAAAAGGCTTAGAAGCTGTTTCAGTTAACATTAAAGGTGAATAAGGTTTTTTCCTACAATATTTTGCGCGTTGACAGATGTCGCAACAATTAATATAATTTGTAATTTCTTTTTTCATGCCTATCCAAAAATAATTTCTTTTTAAATATTCGAGAGTTTCACTTATGCCCCTATGATTTGTTTTCCCTTCATGATGATTTTTGATTAGTAAAATTTGTTCTTCTTTATCTATTACTGTATTTATTAATTTAGTGCAACGTATTAATTTTGGTCCCTTCTCCGAAAGCGTTCAAGATAAACTTTATTAAATTGTTTATAAAATTCATCTAAATGAAAATACATGTGATAAGTTTTACTTTCCACTGTATAATCCCTTAAAAATTCAAATATTAAATTATAGTTATTAGTTTTGGGAATTTTGACATTAATTATTTTATGATGTTGATAGTTTTCTTGATTAACAATTAATTTATTATGAAGATGTGGAAAAACTAATATTTGATTTGTTTTGTTGTTTATAATCTCTTCCAATATTGAAATTCCATCATTGGTAGTTTCCATGACGTTAGAATGTTGTGTAGTTAAATCCTCTTGTTCTTTTTCTTGTATATCTTCATGTTTTTGCTCTTGTTCTTCTTTTTGTTGTAACTCTTTTTTCTGAACTTCTTTCCTAGTTCTTGGTGATCTAATTTGTATATCTTGGAGAATTTTTATCTTTTCTTTTTCTTTAGTTTTATCTGTGTTCTTTTGGCTTGTTGAGGGTTGTTCTTCACGGTCAACATTTTCTGCTAGGTCTCTCAGATAATCAATAGGGTCGAATCCTTGTTCTTCTGTATCTCCAGGGTGATTTATCATCGATTCATTTTCTAGAGCATTTATTTGAATTCTTGAAAGTGCGTCTGCATTGGTATTTATTTTTCCTTTTTTGTACATTATGTCATAGTCAAATTCTTCTAATTTTAAGCGCCATCTTACTAGTTTATTATTTGGTTCTTTCAAGTTAAATAGCCATATCAATGGTCGGTGGTCAGTGTAAATGGTGAATTTTCGTCCAAATAAATATGGTCGGAAATATTTACATGCCCATACAATCGCAAGTAATTCTTTTTCGATTGTACTATACCGTGTTTCTGTCTCATTTAATGTCCTTGAAGCGAAAGCTATTGGTTATCAGAACCTATTTGTCCTTGAGATAAGACTGCTCCTAAGGCCACATTTGAAGCGTCTGTTGTCAATATAAATGGTTTTTTGAAATCTGGATATTGTAAAATAGGTGCGTTAATTAATAAATTTTTACAAGTATTAAAAGCTGAAATAAATTCTTGATTATGAATAATCTTCGAATTTTTCTTTAGGCATTTTGTTAAGGGTTTCGTAATTTTAGCAAAGTTTTGAATAAATTTTCGATAATATCCCACTAATCCGAGAAAACTTTTTATTTCTTTAGGTGTAGTAGGTATTGGAAATTTTTTAATTGCTTCTATCTTGTCAGGGTTGGGTTTTACTCCTTGAGACGTTATGACATGTCCTAAATAATTTACTTCTTTACGTAAAAATTCGCTTTTATCTAACTGTACTTTGAAATTGGCTTTTCTTAATCGTTCAAACACTTTTCTTAGTCTTTCTAGGTGTTCTTGTAATGATGTACTAAATATTACGATGTCATCTAGGTAAACTAGGCATTCTTCGTTTTGTATTCCTCTCAAGACGTTATCCATAACTCTTTGAAACGTCGAGGGCGCATTTTTGAGTCCAAAGGGCATTCTTTTAAATTCATAATGCCCATTTTCGGTTGAAAACGCCGTTTTACATATATCTTCGGAACACATTTCTATCTGGTGAAATCCATTTGCTAAGTCCAATGTTGTAAAATATTGGCTGCGTCCTAACTTGTCTAATATATCAGATATATTAGGTAGCGGATATTTGTCATCTATTGTTTCTTCATTTAATTTTCTGTAGTCCACTACTAATCGCCATTTTCTTTTTCCTGATGCGTCCAGTTTTTTCGGGACTATCCAAATTGGGCTGGACCATGGTGATATAGAATCTTGAATAATACCTTGATCCATCATTTTATTGATTTGGTTACGTACTTCTTCTTTATGGACTTCTGGATATCTGTATGTCTTCGTATATATTGGTGTTTCATTTTTTAGATTTATTTTGTGCTGGATTTGGTTCGTAAAAGTTAAGGGTATTTTTTCACAATAAAATATATCTCTGTATTCAAAGCAAAGTTCTCTAATTGCTTTTTTTTCTTCTTGGTTACAATGTTCTAGGCGTAACTGTTTTAAATTTGATTTTAAAATGTTATCTTGATTATTGGATAGTGGTTCATCAATTTCCATTTTTTCTAAGCAGTTTATTTCTTGGATATTCAATATTTCACATTCCATAGGCTCGTTAAAAGTTATTTCGATAGGAACTATGTTGCTGTTGGTTACTGTTGTTAAAGCAAAATAATTTTCTACGTTGACAATTGCTTCTGGTGTTTCCACAGATTTTCCAAAATTTGTGTAATTTAATAATACTGTACCTTTTTCAATATTAACGGGAATTTTAACGATTTGTTTCGATCTTGGATTAATTGTTATATTATATGTACTATCGTCACATTCATAAATAATAGGTATTTTTATACGGGGTGTTATCAATAATTTACGGTTCATATCAATTATAGCTTTAATTTGCTCTAATAGATTTGTACCAATAATACCATCATATTTGTCACTAAATTTAAAAACATAAAATTTGTGTTTTTGATTTTCATTAAAAATATTAAAAATAGGTATGACAATAACTTCATTATGATAGGATATCATATGAGCTGATTGAATTTGAAAATCTTCAAAAAATATAGAATTAGGATAAAATTGTTTTACTAATTTAGGAGAAATTAAACTTTTTGAACTACCTGTATCTATTAAGAAATTAGCATTAAGTTCAGGAATAAAAATATGAGGTAGATTTTTTCTATTAAGTGCATTGATATTAATTAAGTTATTTCCTTCATAGGTGGAGTCAAAGGAAAATTTACATTATCTGTGTCTGTGTTATTATTGGGAAACAAACACTCATTATTAAATTGTTCATTATTCAATTGTTCATTATATTCTTGTGTGTCATATGTCGTCGAGATATAATTATTAGAACTTGCATTTTCATTGTTAAAATAATAATTATAATATTCTTGGTCAGCATAGTCTGGATATTCTTCGCAATAATGTTGAGAACAATCAAAGGTTTCATTAGGATAATCATTCTGAGTCACTGGGTTAATGTTTTGAGAAAATAATAAATTTTGCTTGGGATGCATAACTGCATTTCTACCGGATGATACTTCCATGGGTTCTGGTTTTTGTAAATTTTGATTTTTTATAACTTGACTAGATTTGAAAAATGGTTTTGGATTTTGATTAAAATTCTGTTGGAAATTACTCCTTTGAGGATAATTCATTTGTCTATTAAAAGGTTGAAAAGTTGGTCTTGGAAATACATTTGATCTCATTGGAAATTGGTTAGAATTTGGTCTGTTATTAAATGATTGATTATTAGGTCTAAATAAATTTTGTTGATAATTATTTTTAAAATTATTATAAGGTGAAAATAAAGGTTTTTGACTATTCTGTAGAAATGGATTATTCTGAAAAGGATTATTCAGAAAAGGATTATTCTGAAAAGGATTATTATTCTGTAATTTTGGGAAAGAGAGATTGGAATTATTATTTTGGAAATTAATTGGTTTACTGAAAGGATTATCTACAGGTGTAAATCTTTGATTCAGTTGAAAAGTTTGATTGTTATTTACCAAATTTTGTTTATTTTGGCTATAAAGAAAATTTTCTTCTTCAATAACCAAACTCATAGCTTTTTCTAAAGTTTTTGGGTCTCTTAATCGAATATTATTTTGCAATTGACCACTTAAACCTCTAATAAAAGTTTTTAATGCTAGTTCTTCATAATTTGCTATTTTTATAGTGTGTTCAGCTGGGTTTAGACTTAACATATTTAATTTTGAAAATACTAAGGAACGTGCGTCTTGACACCTCATTCCAAAATTATATGGAGTTTCGTTACGATTAGGTTTTAGGATAATCAAATCTTGAACAAGACAATCTAGATTTCGTTGGTCACCAAAGCTAAGATTTAATAAGTTTTTAATTTGATCCCATGAATTTAATTCATGAATACGTGAACCAATTAAACTCAATGCTCTGCCTGATAATCTTCCGATTATTGCACGCATTATAAAATTATTATGTCCATCGTTTCCTTCTCTATAAAAGTTTGTTATTAAGCTTTGACACGTATCAATAAAAATATTTAAAGTGTGTGGATTGCCATCATACACAGGAATTGTATCAATATATAATCTTAAAAATGAATAATTTATTTGAGAGGGATTTTCAGATTGATTTTGAGATTGATTTGAAGTAGCCATTACTTGATCTAAAATATTTTCTAGTTCAGAGTTAATAATTGAATCAGAAATAGTTCTATATCTGAGACTTTGTTCAAAACTATCTTTTTCAAAATGTCTAGAACTTAAATTTTGAAGCCTAAATTTATTAGTTATTTCTTCGATTTCACTATCTGAATCGGACATAAAATAAACTTAATCAAATCGTTTTTTACGAATAAAAATTAAAAAATAAAAATAAAATGGAAAATGGATATATATGGAAAAAAAGCAAAATACGAAAATAGATTTAAAAATAAAAATAAAAGTAAATGCAAAATACGATACTAATAAGCAGAATAGAAAAATACGACTTACAGTAGAGAGATGTACAGGGTGAGTCTAGCTACGATGTTCATTGAGTGCGATGTTTTCGGGGATGATTTTCGTTGATGATTTCGTTTTTCGGGTGATGATTTCGGTTTTCGGGTGATGATTTCGGTTTTTCGGGTGGTTTTTCGTTTTTCGTTGCTTCGTTTTTCGTTTCTTCTTAACCTAACTGGTGTTGGCTATGTTTGTCCTCGACCAGGTCCTTATTCTAAGCTGGTTTCGGCGATGCTTGTCCTCTGCCAGGTGTTGGACTTTCGGCGATGCTTGTCCTCTGTTCCAACGGTGTCTTTGGGCTGTTTTTTGCTTTTCACTGTCTCGATTTGTGTGAATCCGTTTTTTGGGTTTTACCAATTTAATCCGCGTGATGGGCACCAACTACGATTTTTGTTAGATGGCTTGGCAAATCCTACCGACTGCGCCAGTTTTCTTTCGTGACCGGGACAATTACTTTTTAAAAAACAACACAGAGACTTGATCAGTTTATTAATATGTTTGGTTGAACAGTACTAACAAAAAGATGAGAAAATATAAATGTAACTTATATTTATAGGCTTCTACTGCTGAGGTAGCAGTGACGTCAAAGGCGGGTGACGTACCCAGCTACGTGGATATAATTCGCGTACCTTTTACTCGATATTATACCATATAAACAATAAAAATAAGCTTTTGAAAGTAGACGCTAGGGGGCGCTGTCTTACAATTTAACAAACATTACGTGACTTTTCAAAAAATTTAAATGCGATAGTATATGTAATTTTAGCTGATACTAAAGTGTAATAAAAGCTTAAAAAGTCAGCGAAAACCGCATCTTGATATCTTGTTTCAAACCAAAGTTATTAGCAAAATTGTAATAAATACGAAAAAATAAGCCCTAAATTACCTTATTTTTATAACACGGTATCACTAGCCCTCTTGATTATGACCATTCTAATAAAAATAAGATAAAAAATTTATTAGAAGTATTCTATTTAAAAAATCGACAACGTACCAGAATACGATAATACTATATAGAGGTGTATTAATATCTAATAATTAAGATATCAATGACAGTGGACAAGAAAAAAGTTTCTTTTAAAGGCATAGTTTAAACATCAAAATATTATTATATCAGCATTTTGATAGTCTCAGCAGCGTTTTTTTTATCTTTAGATTGCTTTTCTAAAAAACTGATGTGAACTTAGCAGCCAAAATATAGCGGCCGATTTGCCGAACATAGCCGAAGGGCCAGTGGCGTCGGGCGACTTAACTTAATATGAAATAATCATACAATTTCTTGCAGGAGAATTTTATTAATATTTAAATAGTACTAAAACGAAGTATGCTTCATTATGTTAATATATTATTACCGATATTTTTATATCGGATTAATTATTATAATTTCAAATTGACACGCCTAGTGTAATTTTATAAAATATGTATACATTATACTAATGTAACCAAAATTTAAAAAAAATAAAAAACTAATTCATTTATGATAGTACTAGTACTACTACCTTTATCAACAATTGGTTACTATCATATCGACAGAAACAACAAAAAAAAGGTCATGATTTATATCACTACTAACTAGAAGCACACAGTTTCGTGTTATTGATGGACTTAGTTTTCGGTATTTTCGTCAGCAGCTAATTAAGTACACTAAGTAAGTATACTAACAAGATCAAAATTTCAGGGATTATATGGGTCCACTAGACTAATAATAATCACCCAGTGGCGTGTTCTTGATCAATTTAGTTTTCGGTATTTTCGTCAGCAGCTAATTTGTTTGTATCGTTTTTCCGATTTTCTCGAAAACTGCGTATACTAACAAGATCAAAATTTCAGGGATTATAGGGGTCCACTAGACTAATAATAATCACCCAGTGGCGTGTTGATCAATTTAGTTTTCAGTATTTTCGTCAGCAGCCAATTTGTTTATACCGTTTTTCCGATTTTCTCGAAAACTACGTGTACTAACAAGATCAAAATTTCAGGGATTATAGGGGTCCGCTAGACTAATAATAATTACAAAGTGGCGTGTTCTTGATCAATTTAGTTTTCGGTATTTTCGTCAGCAGCTAATTTGTTTATACAGTTTTTCCGATTTTCTCGAAAACTACGTATACTAACAAGATCAAAATTTCAGGGATTATAGAGGCCCACTAGACTAATAATAATCCCCCAGTGGTGTGTTTTTGATCGATTTAGTTTTCTGTATTTTCGTCAGCAGCTAATTTGTTTATACCGTTTTTCCGATTTTCTCGAAAACTACCTACACTAACAAGATCAAAATTTCAGGCATTATAGTGGTCCACTAGACTAATAATAATAATAACCAAGTGGCGTGTTCTTGATCGATTTAGTTTTCAGTATTTTCGTCAGCAGCCAATTTGTTTATACCGTTTTTCCGATTTTCTCGAAAACTACGTGTGCTAACAAGATCAAAATTTCAGGGATTATAGGGGTCCGCTAGACTAATAATAATTACCCAGTGGCGTGTTCTTGATCGATTTAGTTTTCGGTATTTTCGTCAGCAGCTAATTTGTTTATACAGTTTTTCCGATTTTCTCGAAAACTGCGTATACTAACAAGATCAAAATTTCAGGGATTATAGAGGACCACTAGACTAATAATAATCCCCAGTGGCGTGTTTTTGATCGATTTAGTTTTCTGTATTTTCGTCAGCAGCTAATTTGTTTATATCGTTTTTCCGATTTTCTCGAAAACTACCTACACTAACAAGATCAAAATTTCAGGCATTATAGTGGTCCACTAGACTAATAATAATAATAACCCAGTGGCGTGTTCTTGATCGATTTAGTTTTCGGTATTTTCGTCAGCAGCCACTTTGTTTATAACGTTTTTCCGATTTTCTCGAAAACTGCGTATACTAACAAGATCAAAATTTCAGGGATTATAGAGGCCCACTAGACTAATAATAATCCCCCAGTAGCGTGTTCTTGATCGATTTAGTTTTCGGTATTTTCGTCAGCAGCCAATTTGTTTATAACGTTTTTCCGATTTTCTCGAAAACTACGTATACTAACAAGATCAAAATTTCAGGGATTATAGGGGTCCGCTAGACTAATAATAATAACCAAGTGGCGTGTTCTTGATCGATTTAGTTTTCAGTATTTTCGTCAGCAGCCAATTTGTTTATACCGTTTTTCCGATTTTCTCGAAAACTACGTGTGCTAACAAGATCAAAATTTCAGGGATTATAGGGGTCCGCTAGACTAATAATAATTACCCAGTGGCGTGTTCTTGATCGATTTAGTTTTGATATTTTCGTCAGCAGCTAATTTGTTTATACCGTTTTTCCGATTTTCTCGAAAACTGCGTATACTAACAAGATCAAAATTTCAGGGATTATAGAGGCCCACCAGGCTAATAATAATCTCCCAGTTGCGTGTTCTTGATCGATTTAGTTTTCGGTATTTTCGTCAGCAGCCAATTTGTTTATAACGTTTTCCGATTTTCTCGAAAACTACGTATACTAACAAGATCAAAATTTCAGGGATTATAGGGGTCCACTAGACTAATAATAATCACCCAGTGGCGTGTTCTTGATCGATTTAGTTTTTGATATTTTCGTCAGCAGCTAATTTGTTTATACCGTTTTTCCGATTTTCTCGAAAACTGCGTATACTAACAAGATCAAAATTTTAGGGATTATAGAAGCCCACTAGACTAATAATAATCCCCCAGTGGCGTGTTCTTGATCGATTTAGTTTTCGGTATTTTCGTCAGCAGCCAATTTGTTTATAACGTTTTTCCGATTTTCTCGAAAACTACGTATACTAACAAGATCAAAATTTCAGGGATTATAGGGGTCCACTAGACTAATAATAATCCCCCAGTGGCGTGTTCTTGATCGATTTAGTTTTCTGTATTTTCGTCAGCAGCTAATTTGTTTATACCGTTTTTCCGATTTTGCCTTTCTTCGCAAGAGAAAAAACGTTGCTAAGACTATCAAAATGTTGATCTAATAACACTTTGACGTTTATACTATTACGTCAAAAGCAACTTTTTTCAAAGCCTACCCAGTGGCGTCGCCAGATATTTTTTTCCAGGGTGGGCCAGATAATTTACCATATCATAGTTGTTGATTAGTTTTTATGAAAATCTAAAATGAAATGAAACATAAACAGTACCAGCAAAAGTTTATTAGGCTCCAAAATGTAGCAATATACAAATAAAAAATACCTTTATACGAAGTATTTTCAAAGTACTTTACATAATCAGCATAATCTTGTATTTTTAAATAATAGGTACCTACTAACCTAAAACCTGATATAATCCAAAATATAGAAATATACAAATAAAAAATGCTTTTATACGAAGTATTTTCGAAGTACTTTACATAATCTTTTATTTTTAAATAATAGGTACCTCACAAAACACATATACAGGAGAAGTGTAAGCGCCCTGTTAAATATTGGAAAGTAAAATTGACGTTTAAATTTGACACTGTTGACAAGCCTACTGCTACTAGCGCCCCCAATATCGCTTGTAAGAACTACGGACTATATTGTCACGTATGGCGGGAAGTTTAAAAAAATAAAAATTTTAATTCTTTAGTTATTTTTAATTATGACATTCATAAAAACACGAAAAATACACATTTTTTTAAAGATATCTTTAATGTCAATATTGAACATACAACAGAAATATAATTTCTCCACAAAAAAAATATAAAATTAAAAGAATAATGTTACGTCCTTAAGTACAGATCAAGAGACAAAATAATTTATATAACAAAACTGAAAAAAACGGCATCGTAGATGGCTTAGAAACCAAACCAAATCGTATTTTTAATCATATTGTCAAGGATGGAATTATTCGATATAATATCTCAATTTTTTCAAATGGAACTAGGGTGTCTCATTAGCATATTTGGAAAAAACATTTTTTACGAATAATTTGATACCATACACTTGACACTTGGTATTTCGAGTCAAATTGTCGTTATGAACCACATGTTACAATTTCAAGTAAACCATATGCGAAAATGTCATAAGTTGACATATGATATGTCATTCTATTCATAGTGTCATTTTCTATCGAATTAAGTGAAAAAATGCAGAGGATGCCATTTAAAAATCAACAGTTGTATTCATTTGACAAGTGACCGAAAACAATTGAATATGTCAATCAATCCCAATTTATGTCGTACACTAACATACCAAATATCGTTGTTTTATCTGTAAAAATAAAAAAGTTATAGGGGTGAGCCACTTTTGAGACACACCCGGTATATTAAAATTTTAATTGCTTTTTTAATGGTAAAGGTATAATCGTTGATTGAAAGAACAACTTTTCATTAAATAATGGGTATTTTTCTATTAAAATTTAGTCATCTTAAGCACATTATTTCATAATTTACATAAGTTTATAATTAAAAAATATAAAACAAACAATAATATCAAATAATAATATGTATATGCTCTTTTTTGTAGTAATTTATAAATTTAGTAAACAGCGTTTAATATTTTTTAGGGGAGCACGGTGAATGTAGACAATTTTGAAAACAGGGGCAAAATGTTAACTGTACGATTGGAGAGGATGGATGAGGTAAGTGTCAAATGAATATTATTTTACCTAATATTAATGCAGGGTCGGATAGGCCAATATAATCAAGGTGGCGGTTGCCAGCCGGGTCCCAGATTTCGCGAGCCCCCCTGTCTTACTATTTACATGTAAAATAGTTCATTATTTTTACTTATATAAAAAAGTGACCATCCCCAGCCTTCGCAGACCTCCCTGTCTTAGAACCTACATGTAAAATAGTTCATTATATATTCTTAAATGAAACAGAAAAAAGTGACGGTAATATTCTGATGTTATCCACAAAATTTCTTTTCGATTTACAATATTTACATTTGCATTGCATTTTGTTTTGCATTGTATTACGGGTAATTCCCTGATTTTAAACACTAACAACAAATCAGCAGGAAAAAATAAATTTTAAGAAAAAAAACTTTTTTAATAATTTAAATAATAGACTAAAAAGAAAAAAAGAAAACTTTTTCCTTAAAACTTTTATTATGAACTTATAACGTCATTGCACAATTTTAATATTATATAAAAGCTTGTCGCGAGATTTGAGTGTACAGTTGCACTCATTAAAATCTGGTACGACAACTTTATCTTGTAATTCCTGGTCTAGTGGTCTATCATAACACAAACTTTCAAAATGAGACAGGGTAGACACAGGTTTTAGATTGTCATGTATATTGTATATACTTCAGGTATATTATTTATGTCACCCATCAATCAAAACACATCTAATAGTCTAGGAGATGAGTATTTTTTAGCTTGGTACACTGACAAGCATTAACAACTCAGACAATTTAATGCATTTAAAATATGGTATGTCAAAATTTGTACTTACTCGTATGTATTTATTTAGCTGGAAAAATTTTACAATTAAAATCAAATAGATACAGTAATTTAATTTACTTGTTTATCAATGTAGAGAAATCTCGCGACAAGCTTTTAGATAATATTAAAATTGTCTAATGACGTTATAAGTTCATAATAAAAATTTTAAGGAAAAAGTTAATTTTTTTCTTTTTAATGTATTTAAATAAAAGCTTGTTGTTAAAAAAGTTATTTTCTTAAAATTTATTTTTTACTTTTTAGTTATGCTGGTTTCTCAGTGCCACACACTTAGGCCCGTATTTATAGTTGCGTCTCGAGACGCCAAGACGGTCTTGGGCTCTTGAGAGCGGAATCCACAGAATACACGAGCAAACGTCATTTTGGAGATTGCGATTTTCATTTTGGAGATTGTCATTTTGGATAGTTTATGTGATCTGTGGATAGTTTCTTATATTGGATTTGGGTCGTGTTTAGTAATCAAAAGTGTATCTACTAATACTAAACTTAATATATTACTAGGGAGTTTTCGTTGCTTACAAATTGCAATTCCGGTTAACGCTAATTGACAACTTTGACATTTCAATTTCGATTATCGTATATCGTAACCGCTAGCTGCCGATATTTTACGGACGTTAGCCAAAGCCGTTAACATAGCGGTACGCATGCGCACTAGCGCAGTAGAAACACAACATTGAAAAATACTGATCTAACCTAACCTCATTCTATTTTGTTTATGTTTTGATTATTTATTTTATCTGTGTTAAACTCGTTGGGAATTCTTAGTGCTTCAACTAATCGAGGAATGTCTTTTTTTTCAAAGCGGAAGTTAGCTTTGCACTCTTGGTCAGATAATATTTCTAGGTTGAACTCCCCATAAAATTCTGCTCGATATTCGATATTGTTTTCAAACCCTTCCAACAGCATAGCATCATCCAAATCCGATTCATCACTAGAGTCCAATAAAATTAAATTGTCCATCCTATATAGCGATACCCAATAAAGTCATATAAAGCACTTTCAAATCAAACAACAATACAAAAACCAAAAATCAAAACACTACGCTACGGACTGTGCTCATCTGTCAGTTTTCGGTTATCGTATCGTATGTCGGCTCCGAACCGATGAAGCGAAAGTCCGAAAACTGTTTTTTTATCTGTCAAAATAGCGGTTATGGTTACGTATCCGTTAACAGTACCGTTGAATTTTTTTAAAGCAACGAAAACTCCCTAATAATAAAGTTACAAATACTTTAAACAAAAATTTAGTAGTTTGCATTCGCGCCATATTTTCGAAGCGTCTCTACCAACTGTCTATCTTAACTGTCTAAGAACTGTCAAGTCTTCTTTTCATTTTTCCTATCACCACAAATTACACTTAACACTCCTCCTCGATAACAACAATTCTAAATTTTTATTATCGCTATTCTTTACTATAAAATTTGAGCTTTAACTCTTAATTTAACAAAATTGTCTTTACATAATGGCTTAGTTAACATGTCTGCTATATTTTTATGTGTTGGAACATATTCAACATTCATTACCTTTTTTAATACTAGATCTTTAAGATAATGAACTTTAATGTCGATGTGTTTGGTTCGTTTTGAATTTTCATTATTACGAGATATTTGAATAGCACTCATATTATCACAATAAAGTATTGCTCTAGCTGTAATATTAAAGTCACTTAATACACCTTTTATGTTCACTAAATCTTGAGAATTAGTTGCAGCTGCTATGAACTCTGCCTCTGCGGTAGATAATGCGACACAGTTTTGTTTTTTCGAAAACCATGATATTACGTTTTGTCCATACATAATTATACTTCCACTTACACTTTTCCTGTCAGTTTTGTCCGATCCCCAGTCTGAATCTGAAAATGCATTTAGTGTTTTATCTTGAATATCATTTTTCTTGAAAACCAATCCTTTTTCTTTCGTCTCTTTTAAATACCTTAATATTCTTTTTGATGCATTCCATGTCTCTTGTGTTGGAGTATCTAAAAATCTACTTAAATATGAAACTGCATAAGTGATGTCAGGACGACTAATGGTTGATACATACATTAGACTTCCGATTAATTGTCTATATGGTACATCAATAAAATTATTTCATTATCTTTGTTAAATTGAAATCCCCTTTCCATTGGTGTACTTTTTCCTTTGCAGTATTGCATATTGTAATATTTTAATAACTTCTCTATAAATTTTGTTTGATTTATATATCATGTCTGTTCCTCTCTTTCTATTGACATTGAAAGAAATTCTTTTATTTCACCTAAATTTTTTGCCTTAAAGTGTTCTTGGAGTAACAAAGATATGTTTTGTATTTTTTCTTTTTCTCCTGTTATTAGTATGTCATCTACATACAACAATAGCCAAATATCTTTATTGTAATATAGACAGCAATCAAATCTTGATCTTTTTAATTTATTATTTATTGCAAAATTACTAAATGTATCATTCCACACTCTGGGAGACTCTTTCAATCCATACAAAGCTCTGTTTAGCTTTAGTACTTGTGACTTTGTTTTCAATCCTTCTGGTGGTTTTATGTATACTTCACTGTTCAGTTCTCCATTTAGAAATGCAGTGGGTATATCTAGTTGCCGTATTTCATAATTCTTTTGCAATGAAACTGATAACATTACTCTGATTGTCGAAATTCTTGCTACTGGAGCATACATTGCTTGACTAAAGTTCTCCTCCTTAATTTGAAACCCTTTTGCAACAATTCTTGCTTTCTTTGTGCCATCTTCTTTAGTGCGAAATACCCATTTTGTTTCAATACCTTTTTTGCCTTGTGGTAACACTGTTTCTGTCCATGTTTGTAATTTCTTGTGAGATTCTATTTCTTTCTGAATAGCATTGCTCCATTGCTCTTCCTTTATTGCCTCTTTAAAATTATGAGGGTCATTTTCATTTGCTATTAAACAATACGCTGTATATACTTCATACTCTGTCAAATACTTTGGTTGTTTTACTATTCTACCTGTCCTTGTTCTTTCTGCTTCAATATCTTCATCTTCATCTTCTGAGCTATCATCAGCTTCAGATTGTAAAGTATTTAAATTATCTTCTCTAATATCATTAAAAGTTTCTGTACCTTTATTTTCCTCTGTTTAAATTTTACATTCAGTTTTACTACTATCTTTATTCTTAACAATTACATTGTAGTCTGTTTGTTCTTCATCAAATGTTACATCTCGTGAACAATTGATTTCATTTTTCTCAAAATTCCATAATCTATACCCATTAGTATTATACCCTACCATAATTTGTAATTCTGCTCGTTTTGTCAATTTATCTGACCTTGGAAGTTCTACTGACCATGCTCGACATCCAAATACTCTCAATTTTGATATATCATTCTTTCCATAAAATAACTCTGATGGTGATTTACCATTGTTAGATTTCGTTGGTGATCTATTGAGTTCATATGCTGAACACAATATAGCTTCACCCCAAAGCTCACGTGGAAGATTTGTCTCTGCAAATTTCGTTCGCACCTTATCTAACAGTGTTCTATTCATCCTCTCTGCTGTCCCATTCTGTTGGGGACTGTAAGCTAAAGTATATTCTATTTTAATACCTTTATTATTGCAATTGTTTTAAAAAATTTGACGAGAATTCACCTCCATTATCACAACGTATTCTTTTTGTTTTGTGACCAAATTGAGGTTTTAACATTTTAATATAATCAATTAAATTTTGTTCCGCTTCACCTTTATTTTTTAACAACTTTATGATTAAAAAGTGAGAATAGTCATCAATTATAACCTGAAAATATTTATAACCTCCAACTGTTGGTGTTACAACAGGACCAGCAATGTCTGTGTGAATAAGTTCCCCCACATTTTTAGTTCTTTTAGTACATGAATCAAAATGTTTTCTTATACTCTTTCCTTCAATACAGTATTTACAAATCTTTTTACTAAATGGTAATCCTAACAATTTTAAATTATATCTATTAATATGTCCTAACCTTCTATGCCAAATATCTGAATTATTTTCTGATTTATTATTACATGCTTCATAACACATTTCATTCTTAAAATCTATTTTATTACAAATAAATCATTAATAGACTCACAATAGAAAATATTTTTATCTTTAATAATCATTGCTTTATTAACCCCTAATTCTTTATTTTCAAATATTACTTTAAATTGTTTCTTTAATAGTTGAGTAACTG